CTGTCCCCGTCCCTGTCCCCGTCCCTGTCCCCGTCCCCGTCCCCGTCCCTGACGTGTCCCCGCTGTCCCAGCAGAGAAGCCGCTGTCCCTGTCCCTGTCCCTGTCCCCGCTGTCCCTGTCCCCTGTCCCTGTTCCCGCTGTCCCTGTCCCCTGTCCCTGTCCCTGTCCCCGCTGTCCCCTGTCCCTGTCCCCGCTGTCCCTGACGTGTCCCCGCTGTCCCAGCAGAGAAGCCGGCGGCCCCGCAGTGCTGGAGCGAGGGGGAGCTGCTCGAGGGGGGCTCGGTGCTGCTGCGCTGCTTCAGCCGCGGCGGGGCCGCGCCGCTCTCCTACCAGTGGGCAAAGCTGGCAGAGGGCTACGGCGGGGGGCGCCTGCCCGCGGGCACCCTGCAAGGTGGGTCAGGGCCTTGGGGGGCACAGAGGGGCTTGGGGGGCACAGAGAGGGTTTGGGGGGTTCAGGGGGTGTTCCTGCCCGCGGGCACCCTGCAAGGTGGGCACAGAAGGAGTTTGGGGTGTTTCTGCCCGTGGGCACCCTGCAAGGTGGGTCAGGGCCTTGGGGGGCACAGAGGGGCTTTGGGGGGCACAGAGGGGCTTTGGGGGGCACAGAGGGGCTTTGGGGGCACCCTGCAAGGTGGGCACAGAGGGGCCTTGGGGGGCACAGAGAGGGGCTTTGGGGGGTTCAGGGGGTGTTCCTGCCCGCGGGCACCCTGCAAGGTGGGCACAGAAGGATTTTGGGGTGTTTCTGCCCGCGGGCACCCTGCAAGGTGGGCACAGAGGGGGTCTGGGGGTTTGTGTGTGTGTCCCTGTGTCCTTGTCCCCGTGTCCCTGTCTATGTGTCCCTGTGTGTCCCCATGTCCCTGTGTGTCTGTGTGTGTCCATGTCCGTGTGTCCATGTCCGTGTGTCTGTGTCCGTGTTCACGGGTCCCCATGTCCCCATCCCTGTGTCCCTGTGTCCCCATGTCCCCATCCCTGTGTCCCTGTGTCCCCCTGTGTCCCCGTGTCCCCCCGTGTGTCCCTGTCCCCGTGTCCCCGCTCCCCCTCTCTGCGGGGCGCGGGTGGCACCTTGGTGACAGTGCCACCCGTGCCGTGCCAGGCCGTGCTCCGGGTGACCTGGTGATCCGCAGCCTGACCGTGGCACACGCTGGCACCTACCAGTGCCGGGTCAGCAACCGCGTGGGCTACTCGGTGTGCCAGCTGAGCCTGAACCCCGGGCCCCGTGAGTGACACGGGGACATGGGGACACCGGGGACATCATTGGGGACATCATTGGGGACACTGGGGACACTGGGGACACTGGGGACACCGGGGTGTGCCAGCTGAGCCTGAACCCCGGGCCCCGTGAGTGACATGGGGACATGGGGACACCGGGGA